CGAGTTATAAGGCTTGAAAGTTATAGTACCGCCGGCATTAGCATTATGCAAGGTGTCCGACCGACGACTAAAACCTCTTGAATGTTGTTCAGGATCATGTGTTGAGATCAAAATCATTGAAGATTTCTCTTGTTTTCATTTTTATGTAAAAGAAAATAACTTTACGGTTTCCCAATCCCTGCAGATGACCCTTTTTTTTAGTACGCGTTGCGCCGACATACGTAGTTGTTTCTCAGTTGAAGAAGGGCGGTAAAAAAAAATTCACTGTCTAGGAGCGGCAGAAATCTTAATCCGACCCTGTCTAATAGACGAGTATAGATTGTATGCCGCATAAAATTATCCATCATACTAGCTTGTGTTAGATACATGCAAACCGTTCATAAACAACGATTATAATCACAATATACAGAGACAAGAAAATCTTTCCCTTTTATGTCGACTTATTTTGCAATCTAACATCTAGCATTTGACTCTTCCCATGAGCAGACTCATCTAGAATCTTAGCACGATTCGCAGAAACGGAATCGCATAACATAAACATACCTTAACAAATCCTACTCTCTTCTCAGGCCTTGTGTTCACCTCCGATTAAGCGGTAAACTCTCGTAGTGGTAGTGGATCACCCGTTCCGAGCACCGATTTCCGGGCTCTATTTAAAACTGTTAACTGACAGTTTGAAATTCACTAGAGACTTGTCTAACACAATTCTTGTGGAAGCGTATTCGACATAAGGACCATTTCTTACGTGTTTCTTCCGCGCGTTTTTACATCCTTGAAACACGTAAGAAGATCATCATATATCGAATCGCAGTAATACATAGTTTACTTACCCATATGTTTTGTCCTCTATCGAATAATTCTGAGCTTGCAGATGTGCGAAACGTGACGCTGAAGGGCGATTGCTGTCCTCTTTCTGTAAGTAACCTTTACTCATAGCTAATTTTAAAGCTCCACCTACCCCGTGACCGAGTGACGGCTCGGCATCTAGAATTGCTGCCTCCATTACAACTGGTTCCGAAATGTTCTCATCTAATTACAGAAGTTATATTTAATTTACATTTAAGAAAAAACCAATTATAAGAAATACTTCAATTTTTTGAAAAAATGTATTGATTTTTCTTTTTTTTTATAGGGAAATATATCAGTTGTTATATGTTATTATCACTGTTATATAAAATTAATCTGCATCAGTACACATAAAATACCTAAATGCACTGTATTCCAAGCACCACGACCATCGTCTTCTTCTTCGTTTGCAGGCGGTTCCTCTTTGATTCCGTCCATTTCAAAATCCTATAACACTTATATTGTATTCAAATGCAACAATATTTTATTACAATTAATCAAAAATATGCTATGTTTAATGTACCATAAGTTCTTGTCCATTTTCCTCTCTATTTCCAGCGAGTCCATAAGTGGGTATATCACCCAAGGTCCTACAAAATTCTGCAGTAGAATTAAGAACAATATTTCCAGATTGACTTTCCTCAGAGTTAAGAATTTCATGTTTTATTGTTTCAATAGTTTTCTGGATGCTAGCTGAATGTCCCTCCTTCAAACGTTGAGTTTTTTTTAAAGTCAATTGTAATTCTAATTCCTTATCATCTTCTTCAAGTTTTATTCCAGTAAGATCTTCTGCAGGAGCTGTTTCCAATAATTTTAATAAATCAAACAAATAATACAACATTGTCAATACGAAGAACACAAAAAGCAAATCGAAGAACACAAAAATTATATAGAACACAAAGAATTATGTACATAAATATAATTTAACAATGTACATACTATACAAAGAACTAACAAAAATCAAATAGAAATAAGTAGAAATGTGTTTCGTTACATAATTAAATTATACTTACAATTTACAAATACCTAATATTCAAATAAGCACCACTTTTTTATTCTTAATTTTTATAAACTCATTTAAATTACCTTCTAAATCATCGACATCTAAAGTATCATTATCCTTCGAATCTTCCGGTTTTTTTCTTCTCCTACTTCCAAGATCTCGAAGATAATCATTGTCCACAGGGACTAAATCATCTGCTTTCAATTTCTTTTTCGTTCTAATTTTTCGAATCTGTAATTATATTATGTATTATTTAATTATATTATATATTATTGCAGAGAACGTTATATATTTTAAAAATAAATTATGAATACAAAATGTATATCAAATATATAGCCATATCAAGTAACTCTAAAGAATATTAATCTACTACATGTACAAACACATTAGAAAACAATTTTCTACCTTCTTCTTTGGTTTCTTGAATTTTGCAAGTTCCTCTTCATTATAATATTCACTCGCTAATTTTGGTTCTGCCATTTGTAGCGTTTCTAATTTTTTATTTGCCAAGCGTTGCTTTACTGTCTCTATCTGACGTCGTTTAAATTCTATTGCATTATTAGCACCCAACATGAAATTGTCTTTTTTTTCACCATCAATTTCTTCATCATACTTTTCTAAAATCTTGTTTTTAGGAAATCCATATTCGTCGAAATTTTCATCGGCATATGGATCATATGTAGGTTTCTTAATTTTATTTAAAACACTACGTTTATATCGTTCATTGTCGATCATATTCACATTTACAAGTAAATCATCATTTTCATTTAATACTTCTTGATCTTTTAATGTTAGGATTACAGTCTTGCCTTCCTCAAACGTTTCCTACAAAATATTTCCTGTTTAAAATTTATTATAAATAAGAAAAATAGAAAACTATATAATTTATGACATGATATAAGTATCAAAAGCTTAAATAATAATTAATATATATTATTAGAATCATATATTATTATACTCACAAGATTATGCTCGACTTTAAGGCCTTTCAAATCTTTCTCTGTATATGCCGTGTTGCGGGCAGTATATATTTCCTCTTTAACCAAATTCCCGATTCCAAATTCTTCATCCAATTGATCCAACATTTTTGCCTTAAATTAAAATAATATTTTTCTTTTAAAAAATCTACAGCAGAATGGATAAACAAACTTTAATAAAGTATTATATATGAAGTTATTATGAAAAAA